ATGTCCCGTGGATACAAATAAATGAATGTACTTGTCTTTATATTAAACGAAACGCTAACTCGGTGCGCCGTATGTATGTGCGTGTGTCCTTCTGTCAGTGTGTCTAAGTGTTCTTCTGCGCGATCTTCTTCACCCTGAGTCTCCTTCTTAGTAAGTTGGTTCGGTTGTATGAATGAGTTGGCGCCATTTCATTCTGCCTTTGAAATCGAAGAAAATAAAGTGAGAGATAAGTCATCTAATGGAGTAACCAAACCATTAACAATCCTGAAGAGCTCGCAGGACTCGCGCTATCAATGCCTTGCGATGGCATGACTGGGGCAACATCCCATGAAAACCCCTCACTGAGCAAATTCTTTGTCGTTCCACACGGTGTTGCAGTGGGAGCCAGTGGAGAAAAGGATGGAGAGGAGAAAAAAAACCAGCCGCATTTGAGATCTCATTCTAACGTCATGCTATGATTTCAGTGATGCCCTCTACCATATCAAACACTTTTTTCTGCATACGTGTCACCTCCACTTGCTATTGCTGTAACCAATATAAGAGAGCACAGCAATACACAAAGCTCACGAAAAGGAGAGAGGTCACGACGGTTGCCGAAGAAATTCAGTCCACTAACTCAGTGCTTTGTGCGCAGCTTGTCGGCAAATAAATAAATTAATAAAGTTGAATGTAGAATATGAAGTTCTAGCACGTTCCAAAACTTTTCATTTGCATCAATCAGGCGAGAGGAATATACTGCGCTTAAAACTGTTGACTTAAAAGCCAAAAATTTTCAAACTTCCCACAATTTGATTGGAATGTTCTCCATCCAACTTCCTGTTTTCTCTCGTGCTTCGCTAGAAATCGATTCTAATCGACTCTACAAACGCCATTCCCTTTCCTCTGGAGCCTCAAAATAGGCCCCGACGCGTCAGGAATTTGTGAACTGGCGTCGCAGCGGTAGTTAGAATTGTATGAAATGTATAAATAGTGGAACAAATGGATCGCCTAGATTGAGAAGCTTCTAGTTCTCTGTACATAAAACTTAATCAGTTATCACAAGCGAACTGAATCATTTCTGTGTTCACCTCTTGATGCGTCTTGAATGGAGCAAGCAGCACCGTTCGATCCGCTAATACTGGTAGATAGTGGAGAAGAGAAGTTATGGAGCAGAAGAAAATAATTGAAGAAGCCCCTTCTGAATACGACCATTATGAACACTTTCGACTTTCGCCCTTTTCTGTAGGTATGAACCAAGACACGGGACAGTGTCACTTTATAAATCCACTGCTCTCGTGGAACGAAAGGGACCACTTACAGCGCCGATGCCGCAATACCGCCGCAGTTCCTTATTCACAATAGCTTGCTTTTTTTCTTGCGAGAATCACCTTAATGAATTGCAGTCGGAGGAGCACTATCCTACTACATATTTGGTGCTTTGACATTGAAAAGCACAAGTGCATTTTTTTCGATCCTGCATGATCAGAAATGTCTACCACCTTTGGAAGATTCGGCAATCCTATGCTTTTATTTTCTTTTCTTGGTCGCATTCCTGATTTTGGCCACTTGCAACACTGTGGTGTCCACAACAGTGATTCGTGACTATAGCATAGGGATTAGTTTCTTTTCTCCATTGTGAACATAGTCGCTTGCGATTAGCTCTGACATGCTCTGATGTATTCAGCTACTCAAGAAATTTCGATCCACAATTTTCAGAGCAACTTCTTCAAAGTTTCTAAAAACATGGGTTTGGAGCGAAGCTACATTAGCTTGTCTTGAATGTGTTATGCTCTCCTGGCAAAGAGCAGTCATTATGAAGTTTCCATGTAACCTTTCACTCATAACACTAATTTATAAGATGTGACTGAAAGCCTCTCGAAACGGGTTTTCTTTCGACAAAAGGAGAGAGCTAATGCATTTGTAAACGTAGCAGTTGGAGAAAAATGTACTGCATGTAAGTATTAGGTTGAAAAGAAGTTCTGCGACACACTTTCTAAAGCGTGGTTTACAAAATCATTTGCTCCACTCGGGGACGAGTATATCGGCGAGACGGCAAGACCGCTCTGTGTACGTGTAAAAGAGCACATAGAGGGCAAGAATAGGTCACGATCATCAACTGCTTTAGGAGCCCACAGGGTTCAAATTCATGATGGGGATGACTTTGAAGTCACAGCTAAGGTCTTGGCTCAAGAATCAGAAACATCTGCACGGAAAACCCTTGAGGCATTTTGGATTCAAGTCAGCAGTCCTAAAATGAATCAGAGGGAAGAAGGCCTCATGATAACGAGGGAGTTAAGACCTTATATAAGATTAGCCTTCCAGTAGTGACTCTCATTTGGAAAGAGTCCGGATTGCAGCTGGTGCTGTGCTTTGTGGCTGGTCTAGAAGTCCGGACTGAATTGCGGTAAGTGGTCCTTCTTGGGGCTAGCGATGTTTTTGGTTGATTTTGAACTTCTATAAGGTGGCGGCGACGTTTGGTCGGGTTGTCATAGACTGATTAGGCTTTTTGCAGGCTCTGACGAAGGCGACCCCGCCGAAACGTTAGCCGATAAAGCTTTTCTACCAACCTCGTGTCGTGTTCAATAGAAGAAAGTTAGAAACACTTCTAAAATTTTCTTTCTTTCTGAAAAATTCATAGGTAACATTTATGACTAACAAATGGTAGAGCATTCTCGAGGCTTCAATCCACGAGGTGGATATAAGTGCTGCAGTCAGTAGTTATCCAAGAAAATTCAAAAAACCTCGACCACTAGTAAATCCATACTCCGAGTCACTGTCTAGTACAAATGTCTCCATAACTATGGATTCGTGTCAACGACCACACTATCTGCAATAGCTTCAATAGGCATGCCGTTCACCGCTACAGCGTGTTTCACCTTTACCAGCGCTTTCGATCTTTTGATATTTTTATAAGAAGCCAGCAGCGTCCCGCACACTCCATTACAGGTAGGGCTCTTACGGAAGCTCCACTACAAATTCTTCGTTATGGGCACCATTGTGTAGGTAGAGGTCTAGGCTGCGAAACTCCAGAAGCTGGCCGAGGCAGCTCGTCAGGAGCCCTCGTACCGCGACAATATTTATTTCTTTCATGACATTGCGAATCACCATGATCCGAAATGAGCCCGGTAAGAAATTCTGGAGCTGCGGCAAGATTTCTTACCTCTCTTAGCGTATTCCCCTGGTCTGTAAATGATTGCCACCTATCCTGCACCTTAAGTTGGCAAAATGAATAGACGATCAACTCGGAAGTCGCCTTCCTTTCTCGACCCACACTCCGCTGGGTTTTGGCAAAGGAGCATCAAGAAATTTTCTGAGCGTTGAAGACAAGTGGTGGACACTCATGGTAGATATAAGACCGGTCAGGAGTTGTAAACAAAAAAGATAAAATTAAAATCAAAAATTTGAAAAAGTGTTCGCAGGACTTTCTTTCCAACCTAATACTATTGCTGACAACGATTTCGCCCTCTCATTAGCTCTCATTGACTAGTGGTTTGGTGCTCTCGTTGGTGAATTTCTCCTCTATATTACACTTTATTTTCGTCCGCTTTGTGCTCTGCGCTGCCGTCGAAGCTTACCTGCATCCATCCGCGCCCTAATTCACATCGAGCGCAGCCTCTTGAACGATCGTGCACTCCGACCACTGAACACAACACAAACATGCACGGAATTCCTTAGAACTGCGGTTTCTGTACCAAGAACTCCTTGTTAACATATCCGTGGAGTACCCTATGAGCATTCGTCTTGAATTTTCATGTGTTTTGTGCGTACTGTCACTTCGTCTATGCCAGTAATGAATAGACGTCACGCAACGAAAAGATATATTATTACTTCAGTTATGTGCAAGGTCATATTGCATATAGTATTTGCCGAGTACTGTCAAACATACGTCCTCATGGACATGGTATGACCAACACCTGTTCAAGCTAAGACATTTGAAAACTGTGAGGCTGTGACGAGAACATGTAGAATGCTATCCCATTTCAAGTTATTCTTTATTCGTGTCTACAAAAATATGACTTATACATGAACTGACATGACTCCTGTTGATTACTAGAACTATTAGGTACCGGATATCTTAATGTTTTTTCTGAGTTCAGGAAGTTTTGGGGCCGATTACCATGGAAAATCAATTTCTCAGAACGTTCTTTTTGCTTATTAATACTACGTAATATGTTGCTTATTAGTCCCTATTGTTACTTTACAATTTACTCTCCCCCAATTTTTATACCTTTTTCTGAAAATTCCTGGGTTCATTGCGCAAATTCGTATGTGTGTACCAAATGCCATCAAAGTCGGGCTGGGAGCTACAGATCCGCCAACCAAACTAACATTGCTTTTGTTGGAAGGAATACTACCGTTTGGAATGCTCACCGGTTCTCCTCAGTTTTCTTAAAAGACAGTGAAGTTTTTGAAAGGATGCCTGCAATCGTCTTCAAAAAGATGGCCCTAGTTAAGCCAGCTGAGAAGGGGCTGCACCAGACTTGTGCTGAAATGGTAGGATACTTTCACTGTGATGGATTGATGATGCGCAAACATTCCTATGAATTTGATTCCGCAAGATATTCTGATAAATGTGCTCACCTGCCTCTCACGCGCGCTCAAAAAGGGTGCGTTTTTGACCCTATGTTGCAAAAAAGTCTCCGTAAAAAACTGCCCAGTTGAGCTGATAAGTTCTAATTTTTCTGTCGTGCAATGCAGACCCTACTCTAACTAAGCTGTATACTTACTTTGTCCAGGCCTTACTTTTTAGCAAGTAAGAGGGATGATTTATCAGAGGATGTCAAAACCGACCTCCTTTTTAACTCAAAAAATTCCGAGCTTGGATCGTGCAAGGTTTCCACTCAAACTGTTAGATGAGGGGATCCTAGTAAGTCATTTTATGATTAAACTAATTCGCTCCCCGGGTTTTGAACTGAAATATTGCTGGTCCAAAACTCTTGGTGAAAAAACGACATTAAGATATCCGGTACCTAATACTTATCTGTGTGCTAATGTCAGCTAGTGAATTGGATCTGTTCTGTCTATTTCTCCCACGTTGTGGCCAAGTGATGGAAGTATGCATTTGTTGCTCCACGATGTTCGTCTAGTTCGCGGCGTTCAGCAGCGGTTCCAACTTCAGTGTTCCACGGTATCAGAAGACGTAAATGAAATCCACCGATTGCAATTGTGTACACCCAAACGATGATGTTGGCGCATCTTAAAATGAGGTGCTATTCATGGAAAGAACAGAGCGCACGTAAAACTTGCACACGTTACGCATCCTGAATTTTCCACTTACATCGTATGGCAAACGTTGACGATCTCATTACCCATGTGATTCCACTGCAAATTATTGTTTACTAGACGCGTTGCTAGCAGAAATGAGAGACATGCAAACACGGCACCTGCTGACACCATTATCGATAATCGCATCACTATCTCAAAAAGATGGCATTATTTCCAATATTACACTACACCGATGATAACACTGTTCAATGATAACAGGGAGATCCCGAAATTTAGGGCGGAACGGTAACCACCTGTTTTTTACATTTGGAGTATAGGACCACTTACTCGGTCCGCATTCTACTGCGCAAACAGCTTGCCTCATAGTATGATTATGCTTGTTGGAAAAATTTAAGATAGGTTGTGTGGGGTGTATATATACTTCTTAACACGTTGACGACATCGCGCGTTTTGGTTTTTGCACCGCGTGGGACCAGAGCGATTTTGCGAGCGCCGCCGCCGCACACCAAATCCATGGATTTTGAGCTGTAAATACGCAATACTTAGATGCGATGAATGTTTTCAATAATGTTCGATCTGTCTAACTTATCGGGAGTTACAGTAATGGAAGTTCGACCGAAATGACGTGTTAAGGCCATGAAAAGGCAAATTTTACTTACTTTCCCTTTAGTGGTTCCAAAATTAATTTGGACGTGGTTGTTTCAGTAAAAAACACATATCTTCCATACGAATAAGTTTGCATTCGCTTCTATTATTGCTTTTTATCAACATATTCGCGTATGAAAAGCAAACTAGGAATGAGTTGAACGTTCTATAAGCCACGTGGTTCTTGGTTATGTTGATGTATGACCTATAAAATGAACACAAAAAACTTGGGAAGAAATCGGCATGTGCGCAAAAAATAAATGTAAGGGTGTGGCATACATAGTTGCCACAATGTCCATGAGGTGCAAAATGGCGGCATACATAGTTGCCGCGCTGTCGTCAAGGTGCTGAATGTAATGTGGCACTCGTCACTCCCACTTTTGTGCTTTTCAAACGCCTAGCTAAGGAAAATTTGTTGAGTGTTTGTCACCTAATCTCCCCAAATTTCTGATGAGTGATTTTGATGAGTGATTATCTTTGGTTACCGGCAGTAATCAGAAAATGGAGACTACCTTCAACACTCTGAGATTTTCTTTCAATTGAAATTTTGTGCTCAGAGTATAAATAACATTTTTGTTGTGGACATCGCTGCTAATAGCTTGCAGTCTCCTGAGATCTCGACGAAAAAGGATCACGTACGTCAAGCAATAGGTAATAAAAAACAAGCCAACGCACGTCGTTCGAATTACTGAGTTGACGCAGCCTGAAGCAGAGCATTTTTTCCCGATACACATTATACCTAGGGCAGGTCCAGGCTAATAATATAAAGCTAATAGATTCACACCTGGGCACTAATACTCGGTGTAAGAGGCTAGCATTTATCTGTACCCTAACTATGAACAGTTCTCAAACTTTAGAATAACGGCTAGAAATGCCATAAAAAATTACCTAACACGTCGGTGAGAGTAGCAATTCGTAGATATAATATAGACGACCGGAATTATAACTTTGTATATCCACGACCTTAGGGTCCTTTCGTAGTCACTGATATATTTGGAAGCAAATGCCCGCTCAACTATTATTGACGGTAAGTATAATGTCACTACATTCATATTCCATAAACGAACAAAACAAGCCGATACCATGATGACGGAGGATAGATAGCTGTCTATAATGCATATGCTGCAACGTATTATATGATCCCTACTATATATAATGCGCTAAATGTCTGTCTGTCCTGTCTGTCACGAAATTCGGTATTAAGCGAACAACAACCTACAGGGTCCAGGTCAAGTTTGGGATGGGTATACCATATCCCTAGAAGTAAAAAACACACATCAGCCAAGCGGAGCCCCGCCCACAGTGGGCGTGGCGTGCATCGGTTGATTTCAAATTCAGTCACAAAACAGCCTCGAGACCGGGACAAAAGTGGGTATAGGTGTGCGTTGGTAAGCCAGATTGAATTGGGGAGACCCACCCTCGGTGGGCGGGGCGTTCTCTAAAAAAGCGGTGCTCAATGAAAATATTCATAACTCGGTTAGGAGGAAGCCTACAGAGCAGAAAAGAAATTAGTGCAGGGAGCAATGTCTAAGGTATTTCATGACGTGAAGCGGAGGCCGCCCACAATGGGGGCGTCTCCTGAAGCAGACGACGTTTCCTACAAGAGCTCATAAATCGCTTCCGAGGTGACTTAGTGACCGGGAAACAGCTCGGTTCCTAGAGGTATCGGGAACCGGGAAAAAGTGGATAAGGGTTGGCGGAGGGAAAGGGGTGAGCTGCTGTTGGTGGGCGGGGCATGCGTTAAAGTGGGCGGAGTTTGCAACCAGGCTTATAACTCGGTTCCTAGAGTCCCGGAGTCCGGGAAAAAGCGTATAAGGGTTGGCAGAGGGAAAGGGGTCAACCGCTGTTGGCGGGCGGAGCATGCGTTAAAGTGGGCGGGGTTTGCCACGGTACTTCATAACTCGGTTCCAATAAGTTCCGGAGATGGGAAAAAGTAGAAAAAGGTTGGGGAAGAGATGATAGTCAACTGATATCAGTGGGCGACCCATGCACCAAAGTGGGCGGGGTTTGCCACAAAGATTCATGCTCGATTCGTCTCCTACAAGACCTCATAATTCGGCTCCGAGATGACTTAGAGACCGGAAAAAAGTGTGTAGAGGTTAGAAGAGGAGGAGAGGTAAATGTAAGCGCCGGGCGTGGCATACAATGAAGTGGGCGGAGTTTGCAACCAGGCTTATAACTCGGTTCCAAGAAGTCCCGGAGACCGGGAAAAAGTGGATAGAGGTCAGCAAAGGAAATGAAGCCAACTGTTAGTGGGCGGGGCATGCACAAAAGTGGGCGGAGTTATCCACGAAACATTATAACTCGGTCCAAGAAGTCCTGGAGATTGGGAAAAAGTGATAAAGGTGAGCGATGAGCGAAGGAAGAGAAGTTAGCTGTTATAGGTGGGCGCGGCGTGCACAGAAGTGGGCGAAGTTTGCGTCGAAGTTGGTTGGTGGTGGGCGGAGCATGCATCAGTGTGGTGGGGTTATCGACGAAACATTACGACTAGGTCCCAAGATGTCCCGGAGACCGGCAAAAAGGTGGAAAGTACGACAACGAAAGGGAGGTCGGAAGGTGGGTGGGAGCGGGGAGCGAGGTGGGCGAACATTGCCAGAAAGCCTTGCAAAATATTGATTGTTTCATATTGCAGGCCCGTGTGATGCACGCGAATGCATGCGCAGCTAAAATGGTACAGGTACAAACCATGAAGCTTCAGATGTTGATCAATCCCTCCTAAGATTGTATCTCTCATTCTATTCAACTTCAGGGTCGTCCGGCATTCGAATGAGATTTACTCACTTTATCAATTTGGAAGAGTCCAGGCAAAATTAGATTGCGCAGCCCTTCCTATTCAGGAAGGCCGCGAAAACTTGGTTCTTGCCAAGGGAGGACGTGCATGCGGTCAGCGCCATTGAACAGGCTTTAAAGATGAAAATGCTAGGCCTTTTCGCACAACTGCAAGTGCGGAATTGGTTTTTAAACTCTGAACGCTATCAAGGATTGAAAATCAAAAGTGCTATATAGTCGACGATAAAGTAGTACGAACACATTATGTGATTTTCGGAGCTGTTGCAAGGTACGGAGGCAGAAACTCAAAGAAATGAACAACGCTCGCGCTTGAGGTTTAGTCGTTTAGTATAACAAGAAGGATACGTTTCAGTTGGATCTGAATGCATTGCTACCCAATGCCCTGTATCTTGTTATAGTGGTTTAGCGCCTGGTTTTGTAATGTTTGATAGACCACGGCGTCACCAAGTGGATCACTATGTGCCCCTTGAGCGAACAGAACCCATTGAAGCACTGTAGCAGGTGAAAGGGAATAATGGTAAGGGAGATGATAGTGGTTCGAAGCCATGACAACGGGAATCCTTCATTGAAATTGCGTGGATCAGGAAAGTAATATAAGACACAAGATATCTTATTAGTTTTATGAGTGTGAGTTTCGAGTCATCTATGATTAGGTTGTAAGCTTTATCTTCAACTATCTTGTAGGAGCAAAGTATTACTGACACTACTGCAACAGTTTACCTTCATGAGATAAAAAGTTGAGTTCATAGAGGAGCAATACAGCTCGCGCTCCAATGCTAGGATAGTAGCTGATTAGTAGAGCCTGCAAACAAATTAAGTGTTGATATTGATCAACTCACTCAATAATTATAATTGCATAATTTTTTTGAGCTAAGTTCTAATCTTAGCTGTTGTTTGATCTATGAAAGGAAAGCACGAAAGCAGGACTACTAGAAGTTTAAATACTCGTGCTTCGTGAACTAATTAGACGAATATCAACAAACGCATGCGAGTAATGAGTGCTGCTCAGGCGGCCCGCACTTGGGCGTACCAGTGGAAGGCCGTTATCAGACTTGACAAATCTGAAGCACGGGCTAGAGCGATCCATCATCTGTTCGTTTAATGCATCAGCAGTTCGATAATATACACTGCGTTCAATAATGATACAGCCACCTAAAATTTGTTCGAAAACTTCAAAGTTCATAGAGTTTCTGAAAAACTGTCCAGATAGAAAATGTGACAAATTTCATGGCGAGTTCAGATATCAACACAAAAATCCATGTCGAAAACACTAAAAAATTTTGTGCTATTTTTTCAGAAGAGGTCGATTTTCCTATGTTCAAAAATGATACAGCCACCCCGTGTTTCTTCGTTGAAATTCATTTTTGCTTCATGAAACTGATTCGCAGTATCAGGCTTTCACCTTAAGATAAAAAAAGACAGTTGGATTTTGAAAAAGGGTAAACTGTAGCAAAAAGGACCAGGAATCGTCAAGCAGTCATATTGCGCAAAAATTGAGTCAAAGCTCCAATACGGTTAACAATCTTTTCTGGAATCCTGTAGGTTATGGAACAAAGAAGAGCTCTGGATGTTCATCATTGCTTTTTGGTCAAGTTAAACTTCGCATTTTGGGGAAACATTTCAATTTCATCGAACAGTGCCCGGAATTCCAGTCTTCTTTCAAATTAAACTTTCAATGGATATTGTTTGGGATGTGTTGAAGATTTTCCGAGGTCATTCTTCAATGGAGAATCAAAGAAACCTTGTTTGTGAAAAAAGTCACGGGAACCGATT